GGGGGGGGGGGGGTTGCTGAGGAAAGGACAGTCGGATAGAATAGCCAGAGGCCAGAGGGGACATTGTCGCACCCGCCCGGGGCTGGGAGTGGGGGAAGACAGAGCGACACCTTTGGTGTAGAGATAACACCTCAGAAAGAAGGAAAATCCTTCAGCACAGAGAAAATGAAATTTCCACAAACCAGAATTACACCGTAAAGAAAGCGTAACAACCCCGAAGAAAGTACATAGAGAAGCAGTGCACAGAGAGAAAGGCGAGAACATACTCAGCGGAGCCTTCAACAGGAGTTTGGGAGGCCGCCGCCCTGCGTGGGTGGCTCAGCGGTCGAGCCCGGACCTGTGGTCCAGGAGATCGCAGTTGGGTTCCCGGTCAGGGCATAGTCCCAGTAGGGGGCTCGACCCCCAGTCGGGGCGTGCAGGAGGCAGCCGATCAGTGTTTCCCTCTCCCATCAATGTTTCTCACCCTCTCTCCTCCCTTCCTCTCTCTGAAATCAATAGAAACTTTTTTTTTTTAAAGTTCTCCTGTGATAAGGTAAAATAACCTTTAAAAAAAAAGAGTTCATAAGGCAGCCAAAGAAAAGAGCTTTTCAACAGTTGGACGGTTGTCATTGTCTTCAGCTCTATTCTGGGAGACCCAGGCTCGGGCGGGTTAAGGGGCCGCTGTCCCCGACAAGGGAAAGCAGCACCAGCAGCAAACCGAGCAGCTTCTGAGCGGCGAGAGACCAGCCAGGCTCCGCTGGCGACCACGCGCGTGCTTTGGGGCGTTCAGACATCCCTGTGCCTCGGTTTCCCCACACGGAAACTGCAAAGCTGACCCACTTGGCGTGAGCAGTGGGACCTGCGGCCCAGGAAGCGCAGTGGTTCCAGAAGCCACGAGGCCGCATTGCGCACGCGGCCAGAGCAGAAGTGGGCCAGGGACCCGCGTGACAGGGACCGGGGCGGCGAAGAGGACCTCGCAGGCTCTCCGTTACAGTCTCCGTTCGAAGCCATGACAGTGGAGAGGAGGGCATTTAGACACACTGGAGTAATTTTGCATATGGCTGCTGCGTAGGGCTCCTAATGTTCTAAGTTTTATTTCAATATTGTCAGATGAAATTAGCTCCATTTCAAAACAGTGAGCTATAAATGGAGCTCCCTTCGTTACTGGGTCAGGCTGACACGTGTTTCAGTGATCGTGGGTTTAGTTCCCCAAGTGGAGAAGGGAAGTGGAGGTTTCTGTTGCCCCCCAAAACCTTGCTGCTTCTTTGCCCGTGGCCTCCCGGGTCCCCCTTTAGACCTTTGGTGAGCTGACCCTGCGAGGCTCCCTCTGCTGGGCCAGCGTCTGCCTCGGGCCTGCGCTGCCTGTCACGGCCAGGCTCCTCCTCTGGGTGGCGCTGCTCGGGAGAGACGGCTGAGAAAAGAGGAACATCTGGCCGACCGTGGTCAAACACATGCAACTAGTAGTCAGTAAAGGCCGATTTTTCCAGCTGCATCATACGGACTGTGCGACGGGTAAGGGCTTACAGGCAGTCCCTGGTCTCCAGCGGTGGTTTAGGGGTTTTCGACTAGACAGGGATGGAGAGTGACCCGCTTTCGGTAGGAACCTCCAGGCTGAGCTGAAGCCGGAGGTCAGGTGCATTAGGTGTGTTCTGACTACAGAATTGTCACCTGACAGCGGGTTTATCGGGACGTGACCCCATCGTACGCCGGGGAGCATCTGTGTATATAATTATGACATATTCACTCCAAGTCAACAGGAAAGTGGGCAGAACAGGGACTTGAAACGGCTGGCACCCATTGGAAACTGTGCTCCGCCTCCCGCACCAGCAATCTGAGCAACGCAGCCTTGGGTGCTGTGCCTCACCTTTTCTCCCCTTAGATTTGCAAAGGTTAAATCCTCAAAGGTCGAACTCCCCAGGGCGGGAGGTGGGGCAGGGGCAGGGCGTGGACCCGTGTCCGGTGGGCAGAGGCGACCTGTGCCCGCTGCACGCTTCACCCTGGCTGGCCTCCGGGCCTTCCGCGGTGACCCTGCGTTCTTGTCGCCCACAGAACTACTCCCTCCTCGACATGCGGCCTCCGCCCCCCACGATGATCACCTTCAACAACTCCTTGTACTGGCACGAGTTCGAAGACACCTGTGTCTACGAGTGTCTCGACGGCAAGGACTGCCAGAGCTTCTTCTGCTGCTACGAAGAGTGCAGGTCCGGGTCCTGGAGGAGAGGGCGCATCCACATAGACGTCTCGGAGCTGGACTCGTACTCCCGGGTCCTCTTTCCCACGTCCTTCCTGCTCTTCAACCTGGTCTACTGGGTCGGGTACCTGTATCTCTGAGCGCCGCCCGCGGCGATGAGGGACGCGTGCTCGGTCCCCCCTTCACCTGTCCCCTCCCCAGACCCGTAGTGACCCGTCGGAGCAGGGAGGGCGCTGCTCAGCGTCTCTGAACTTGCGCAGCACCCCTGAGCAGCGTGGAGAGTGCGGCGAATGTTCTACCGCGTGTCCCACCCCCACGTGCGCGCACACCCACAGCTAAGTGAGTTTCAAAGCGACATCCCTGCGAATCCCTTCCTGAACCTGTAGCTTGGCGAAGGTCACCAGTGGTTTGGGGCTATTGGAAGCGGCTGCCGGTTATCTCTGCAGAGAGATCTGTAACCCACGCCAGCAAACGCCTGAGACGCGCGCTCAGGCCCCGGCCTGCTGGCTCTTCCCTCGGCCGCCCTCGGTGGCCCCGGTGCCCAGTGTGAGTCCCCGCGGCTGAGACGTACTCGCCCGGCCTCCCAGGTACCCCGAGTTCACGCGCGTGGGTTCCAAGCCGTTTCCTCTCTCTCTCTGGCCTGTTTCCCTCGGGCGCCGTCGTGGTCAGCGGGCAGCCCTCTGCCTGGCAGCCTCGCCTCGGCTTGGAAAGGGGGTCCACGCATCACCCACACACGTCAGGTTGAGGGGAAGAGACGATTTTCAGATTTTTTTCATGTTGCTGAAATCAGCGACGTTGGTGATCTCCGAACGTCGGAAGGTCATTCATTGCTTTATTCCTTTATGCCCTGAGCGGGGCAGCCGCGGAGTGCGCCCCCTGCTGGCGTTGCGCTGCTGTGGCTCCGTTATCTGCATCTTTCGGAGGAAAGATGCACCATCCACTGGCCTCTGTCTCGAAGCGTTTTCCAGGGTGTGAGAGAAATGTAGATACGGTTTCCAAGTTTTCTTAGTGTGTATTAACTTCCAAGTCAAATCTCTTTAGATGCCAAAAAGTGGATAATGGCTGTCGTCGATGATTGTCATCAATGATATATTTTGATGAGCAAAAAAAGCTTTTATACTTTGGAATATGGAGACATAGCAAAAGCCCAAAGAGAACATTCCCTGAAATTATTACTTTTTTGATATTTTTGTAACAAAACCAGCTCGCCTGCGATGTCAGCTCTTTGTTTTCCACTGGACGCCTGTATGTTCTTCCCAAGATGCTTCTGAAGCTCCCACCACTGATAGGGAAAAAAGAGTCCTACCAGCTCGTTAATTTCCATACTAAAATTTTGGCACCAGAATCTCTGTGCTTTTCACCCAGAAAATTGAATTAAGTTTATTGGAAACCATAGAATTTTAATTATTTATTGGACATATGTCTCCAAAAAAAAAAAAAACAACACAAGGTAAAACATTAAGGAGAGAAAACTTATAAAAGTGCTGATTCCACACAATTTTCTGGGTGCCAACCAGACCCTGAAGGGCATGGGAGTGGGAAAGGCCAGGAAAGTTGAGATTAGAGGAATCTGTTTATTTTTTTTAAATATGTTTTTATTGTTTTTTTAGGGGGAGAGAGAGAAATGCACAGCCCCTACTGGGGATCGAGCCTGCAACCCAGATATGTGCCCTGACCAGGAATCCGACCTGTGACCTCTTGGTTCATAGGTCGACGCGAAACCACTGAGCCACGCTGGCCGGGCAGGAATCTGTTTATTTTGATGAACGTCACTGCATCTGAAGTGAGTGCAGGTCTGTGGATATCTGATCACCCAGCTCCCGAGGCTGGCGTGTATAGTGTGAGAGAGTCAAACCGACTGGTGTTCTTCCTGTCGCTCCCGCCTCCTGCTCCCATAGCTGCCCCACAGACCACAAGCCGTTGGCTCCTATTTAGCAAATCCAATTAAATAAGAGAATGAATATTTGCAGAGAAACAGGTTGAATCTGTTGGCTTCAGTGACATGTCTGCTCTGTTGGGAATTTCACCCGTTAGTGTATAAACCATCCGCCCACCCTCAGGGTCTGGAGGCCCCGTCACCAACCGACCTCAACATGCCGCATGTGACGCCGAGCGCCGAGCACCCAGGGAAGGCGGCCCAAGGTCGGTCCCCTTCAAACACAATTTCCAGTTTCATGAATTTATAATTTCTCACAATAGGAAGAATTTCTCTCTGTTTCATCTTCAAAGAAGTCCTGGAGGGAACTGAATTTCCTAGTGAAATGCTTCTTGGGAGGAAAATAACCTAAAAGCATTTTTTTCCTAACATAGATTTGGCCCAGTTTTACATAAAAATGTTTTTATTGATGCCAATACCTGGGTGGTGGTGGCTACTCTCGTGAAATTACACACATAGGACGTGCAGACCAATAACCTGTTGGCTTCCCCCTGCTGGTCTAAACACCCTGGTTCGCGGTTCCTTTCCCATGACTGAGAACCTCCGTCCTGACAGCGTCCAATAGATGTTCACTAGTTGACCATAAACTAGATCCCTGCACCGATAGCAATTCACACGCTGGCCTGACTGAAGGAACTAAGCACCCCCCGGGAGCTCGCCCGCCTGGTCCCAGCAGGCTTCCCCCTCGAGTCCTCCTTGCCCGTCTCTCTCCCGAGACGCGCTTTCAGCCACAGGAGGAGGTGAGCGGCCCACGCAGGACAGTGCGGGTCGTGCTTGTTAATTCCAGCGCGTGTGAGTTTACCTTCTGGAGGTAGGAAGAGGAGGGTGGGGAGAGTGTGAGGCACACGAGTCGCTCTAACGGCAGGACTGTCCTTCCCCATCAGCTTCTGGGTAGGATACGCGTGGGGCGCACGTGAGGCTGTTCCACGCAGGCCTCACACCCTTCCAGCCTGCGAGCTTGCTTTGCGTGGGGAATTGGGAAGCGTTTTTGGCCGTGGTGTGGCAGCTGGGGGACGTGGTCTGGGCGGCCTGCATCCCAGGGGTGCTGCTGTGGCCCTCGCTTCCAGAAAGTCCCTCGGTCGGGGAGGTGAGAGTCCGCGTTTGACCAGGATTTCTCATCTCTGACCACCTCCGTCTGTGACTGTCTGTATTTTAAGCCGCCTCCAGGCTGAGAGGGAGAGAGAAGAAAAGGCATTTCGCTTTCATGGAATTAGAGCAAAATGCCTCTTCAGAGCCTAGAAATTTCCATTTCTGCCGAGTGTCAACACCCCTGAGCGGGAGGCTGTCAGACCCTGGACAGAGCGACCGCGCCGCACTGAGGTACCCTGTGCCCAGCCAGCACTGCCCGGTGTATGCCTTAAAACCACACAGAGCCCAGACACCACGTCTCGCAGGCTCTCCGTGTCCCAGACACCCGTACTTCGGGCCAGGCTTTGTGTCTCTTTTCTGAGTGAGGGGGGATGGGATTGCATTTCTTCCCACACCACGCAGTCTCATCCGTGATCGGACATCAGCTCGCTGAAGGACACAGTGTCCGTGGGTCCTTCCATCAGGAAATGCTTGTGCATTTTCAGGCCACACGTGGGAAATCGGGGACAGCCCTTAAGTGAGCGACACGGCGCTCGGACGGCCGCGAGTGTCCACACAGAACCTTCTGGGCAGGCCTTTTGCCTGGACAGAGTTTGCTGCGGTCACGCGTGTGGGCAGACCTGCCCTGCACACCACCACACCCCGGCGGCGAAGGGAGGTCGTCGGTCACCCCGATGCGCGGTGACACACCTGCCACGCCGGGAAGACCAGGGCGCGCCCCATCTAAAGGGCTAGATCACAGGACCCACCTCCCCTTCCTCGGTCACTTGCACCTTGTGGCCCGTGACAAGCTCTGCTTTCCTTTGTGGACTTAGCGGACACTGACTGCCCTCCCCCAGCAGGCTCATCACTGTCTCGGGGCGATGCTCTCACGACACAGAGCACTTTGAATTCTCTCCGTGACCTTGCAGTTGTCCGAGTGCTTTTTCTGAGCGTTTATAAACTACACACATGGAATTTCACCCTCTATCTCCAGTGCGATAAAACTGTACATTGAGATGTTTGCCATCAGTTGGCTTCAGAACCTGTCATTTTAAAATACTCCAAAGAGATCTGGAAATAAGAGGGGGAAGGACCCAGGGAGGAATTCTGCATCGTGAATGGGAAATTCACAGGTCCCTGTCGCACCCCCTTCCGGTTGCCGCCAGTCCAGCGAGCGTGTAACTGGTACTTGTTTCTTAGACTGGCCTATGAGAAGCCGTCAGGTCAGCAGTGTCCCCACGGGGCCCAGTCACAGCCAGAGAGCCGGGAAATAATCGTCTGAACGACAGGCCCTTCCCGTGGACTCCACTTTTACTATAAAAATCGATTTCTGTCATTAGAGGGAAAAGCGCTGTGTGTTGAGATGATAGGATAACATAACAGCTCAGCCGTCCATAGTTCTGAAAACCTGGCTTTTTAAAATGCCTGATGGTTTTGAAGACTGGAAACTAGGGCATTTCCACTTTTAAATTTTCCACTTTTAAAATTTCTTCTGAGGACGAGTTTGCAATTCCAAGGCATAAGCCTGGCCTAGTTCTTTTAAGGTCAAAAGGTAGAATGTTTCCTATTTCTTCCCCAAATGTCCCCCAGCTAAATGATGCTTTGTGGGTGTTGGGGGTGTGATATTTATATATATATATAATATTTTTATTGATTTCAGAGACAGGAAGGGAGAGAGAGAGAAACAGCAATGATGAGAGTCATTGATCGGCTGCCTCCTGCACGCCCCCTGCTGGGGATCCAGCCCAAAACTCAGGCCTGTGCCCTGACTGGGATTCGAACAGTGATCTCCTGGATCCTAGGTCGATGCTCAACCACTGAGTCACTCCGCCTGGGCACTTTGATTTTTAATGTTGTCAGTAAAACACCATAAACGTTTTATTACTCCATTCACATGAAAAACAAATTTTAGACCACATTAAATCAGTGCTAAAAAAAATTAGTTGCATAGTCACTGACAAGTCTTCAGTGTTTTAAGTTAACCAAGTGGGTCTTTCAGACCATATCATACAGGCACATGAGCTAGAAAATAATTAGGAAGATAGAACATGCGAGCATGCGCACACACAGACACTTGTGTACACAGACACGTGTGCTCACAGACACGCGTCCACACGGGCATACACGGACTTAACACTACAACAGCATTCAGGTAATCGAGGGAACTGCAAATTGTTTTGCTTCAGTTGTTCAAATCATTGCCTATGTTCCCCCCTCCCTTCATTTTTCACATTTGTAAACACAACACAACTTCCCAGGCCCCGTGGTTGGCTCTACAGTGGGAGGGAGGAGGGCCCTCAATGTCTGCTGAACGGGTCTCATTGGACAGGTCGGAAGGAACAGTCAGGACTGGCTGCCGATAGTGAAACGCCCGGGTTGAGAAGGGAGCTGCTG